GAAGGAAGGAAGGAAGGAAGGAAGGAAGGAAGGAAGGAAGGAAGGAAAGAAAGAGAAAGAAAGAAAGAAAGGAAGGAAGGAAGGAAGGAAGGAAGGAAGGAAGGAAGGAAGGAAGGAAGGAAAGAAAGAAAGAAAGAAAGAAAGAAAGAAAGAAAGAAAGAAAGAAAGAAAGAAAGAAAGAAAGAAAGAGAAGGAAGGAAGCAAGCAAGCAAGCAAGCAAGCAAAGAATGGCTCTCGGCCCCAAACCAAGCTCTGGAACGACATAGCCAAAACTGTTTCTGACCATGTACAGAGTTCTGTTTTTTTTGAACAGGAGAGTTGGGACGGTGCTAATAAAAGTGGAGGCTCTCTCCATCCATTCACTTTTTGAAGCCTGCATGCTATCCAGCCATTTCTTTTTCCAAACTAACTAAAAAAAAAAATCTGCAAAGCCTGCATTGCCATTTTTCTTTTCTTATTTTCCCCTTTTCTAACCAATCTTAGAAAGATCTAAAAAAATAAAACTTTCTGCGAGTCACCAATGCAATTTTTCTCCTTCGGAAAGGCGGCCTCTCCAAAAAAAACCCCATCACCTGGGTAAAAAAACCCCTGGAATAATTAATAATAAGAATAAGGAGAAGGAGAAGAATGAGGAGGAGGAGGAGGAGGAGAAGGAAGAAGAGGAGGAGGAGGAGGAGGAGGAGGAGGAGGAGAAGAAGAAGAAGAAGAAGAAGAAGAAGAAGAAGAAGAAGAAGAAGAAGAAGAAGAAGAAGAAGAAGAAGAAGAAGAATCCTTCCTTATAATCCTGAGCTTTAAATTACACACACACACACACACACACGCACACATATATTTATTTATTCCCCACCCCCACCCCTGATTTTTGAGCCCAGTGTGCAAATTTAAAAAAGGGAAAGAGGTTTGTAAGAGCAGCAGGGTGAAAAAAAAAAAAGAAAAGAAAAAGAAATGACTTTTTTTTGTTTTCCAACCTCTGTACGGAAACCTCCCTGAAGTTTTTTTTTTTTT